AAATATAAAATTTTAACGCAATAATTACTGTCAGCATAGATGTAACCTCAGTGGCTGGCTCCACTTTCCACTCAGCCACTACGACATGGACTGTGAATGCTTCAGGTAACCCATGAACTAATCAGCTACCGATACAGACAGTTATGAATGGCAGACTTTAAAGAAAAGAAGGCACTGGGAAAATCTCTCAACTGGAAAAACTGGGGGTCGCGGTATGCATTTAATTCCTCGGGGAGCATAGCCGTAGCACAGAGCATAAAAGTGTGCCAATCTGGTCGCTTTTAGCTGTGCATGTCCGATAAACGATTCTGCTTAGACTTTCTTGCGCCACGTTCACGTTTAATATGATTTTTTCAGTCTGAATTTGCACTCCAACATATGACTCCAATCTGGATTTCCCTCAAAACCATGAACAGGTCTGTAAACTGTTAATGGCCATTAGCCCATTGGATGACTATATTTCAGGATCTTCAAATAAATCTCAAATAGTTCTCGAGGACAAGAATAACCTTCACTGTCGGTGCCTCTGACAAGCGTTCCCCTATTCGGATCTTTGTCATTATCGACGAACGACGGAGAAGAGATGATTTGTTTGTATAGAGCAACTAACAAAGAGTAAGATAGAACATAGTGACATACTGGTGGTTGCTTGACACGACGAGTCAGATGGCTGCTGAAGCTTACTGAGCGCGGATGCGGCGGTAGCGCGCACGTGGCAGACCTTGTCCTTTACGCGGTCTTTCAAAGCGTTCAGCAGCCGGTCAAAAGTTTCGTTGTCGATGATTGGCGGGTCTTCGCTCTCTGATATGGCATCGAGAAGTAGACGCATATACTGGCAGCAGCGGGCACGTATGGTTTTTGCAGGGTGTAGTAAAATCTTAAAAGAAAAAAATACAACAAAAAACAATAAATCCAAAACAAAGAAAGAGCAATCGCTTACACTCAACAACAGAGTGAACAACGAAGACCGAAAAATGTTCATATTCTGCCTTTGCACAACGTCATTTCGAGCTGCGAAATTCGCCGCAAACCTCAAACAGGAATCGACAATCGGTGAGTTTTCCTTGATCCTCAGCGCGTAGCATAGCAGATGAAAAAAATGCTTCGTGAACTGCTCGGTATTTGCCTGCACATAACAACAAGTTAAGAAATTATTTCGGTTTTACTCTGTTTTATTTATCGATATTATCCATAACATTGTGAAGCCGTGTTTAGGTATATCCATCCATCGCGGTCACTCGCCCTTATTCCTTCCAAGGATGATAGATCACGAAAAAAACCCGGTGACTACAAGCTACGTTTGCCACATGCTGTAGACTCTGCCTTTGAAAAATTAAGGTACTCCCGTTTGATGGCATAGAAACGAAGGTCAGCACGGAAGGAACAACTTCATGAAATAAAGGGCGCCAAAAAGTGAAGGAAAACTTACATTCCAAAAGTGATAAACTTCTTTTTCCCTTATCCGCTCATCTGTCAAAGTTTATTAGCTTCCGTAACTCGTGCTACTATCAGCAAAGAGAGAAATCGGCACTATTTGGAATTAACAAAGTTTGAAAAATATATACGGTTCAGCTTGAACATATATTTCAAATTAAACAACTGCAAAACATTAGTCACTGTTCAGAATCACTGAAGAACAAGTTCATCAGTGACGATGGATCCAAATTGCCACTCCAGCTGCATACCAGTCTCATGGATGTTCCCCGTTGGGCACTTCAATGCGTAGTAACAGTTTCTGTAACTAGACACTGAGAAACCGACTTATCTGATTTGTTAACGTATGATGACACATATATAAGAATTATTTAATACTGAAGACATATAATCCCATTA